TGTTCAGCATGGGGGTGAGTAGAAAATGAAGGCTAATCATGTTTTGGGTGTACTATTCCTTTAAGTGGGCTGTGGACAACACTCCAGTGCCAGAGTGTTTTGCCAGTAATGGTTAGCAAGTCTGAGCCAATCTGCCTGCCTGAATCTAGACTCCCTGATTACCTGAACCTAACCTGTTCTTGTCCTCTCTGCTTCTAGGAAGAACATGTCAGAAATCTGAAACTCAGGAAGAGTTTCTCTGTCTGAAACCAGTCTGTCTGATCACGGAAGGAACCCTGGAGAATCAAACCTCTCAGCCCTCAGCCTGCCGCCAGCCTCTGGACCCTCCAGGTTTCCCCCTCTGTCGCTCTGCTCAAACCTCTGAACAGGTACAAACCTGCGCTCACTCAACCAGCAAGATAACCTGGACTTCAGCTAACCATTCTGTCCCCCTCTGCAGTGAAAATCAGTCGTGACCAGTCCTGGACCAGATTTCCCCCAGAATCAGTTCTGTGTTCTACCTGTGTATTTCAATAAACATTTTGAACTTTTCCCCCTGTCTCAGAGTGTGTTCTGCATTTGGGCTAGAATCACAACCAAACATGACACTCACAGCACAAGGACAGTCACAACCTGTACCATAAAGTGCAAACAATTTTCACTCATACTGTCCAACAGACAACACCATGAGAGGAATAAAGAAATATAAACTACATTTTAAAGTATTGAAAGTGCACACAAAATGAATTGCCCAAAAGATACCAGAATGTGTTTCCTCTTCAGGCCTTTCCTCATCCATACTCCCTAAGTTGTGATTAGCAACTGCCATCTTCCAAAGTGCAGCACTGGATTATGAGACAATACAAAGGGTGATTGCAAGGCAGGGCTACGCAAGTTTAAATTTCCAGCCGCATTAAATTTTTTCACCATCAGTATTTTTTTTTTTTTTTTTACTCAGTAACGTGAGGGGGGGTTTTAAATGTAGCAAAGTAAAACTACTTAGGTTAAAATGTACTCGAGTAAAAGTAAAAACTACACTGAAAATTACAAATTACTCATAAAAAGTACTCAATTACAGTAACGTGAGTAAATGTAATTCGTTAATTTCCACCCCTGGCTTTCCTATTTGTTTTGTTCTATTTGTGAGT